AAATTCATTATCACAAAGGGCACTGTAAAAAATCATAATTTTTCGTGTGCGCGCACAAGCACAAAATAATATTTTAAACACCTTAACCGCGTATAATATATATGTGTCATTATCGTTTATTATAATACTTACCGAATTTTTATAAAAACAGATGTCATCATATTTAATAAAAGATAATGTCTCTCGTAAGGAGTTTTGATCTTCAATTTTTCCGTTAAAAACAGTAACGTTAGAGCAGCGCGATCTGCACACCATGGTCCAAGAGTTTCTAATATATGCAAAAAATCTTGCATCATCTCAAAGGGCTTTTGTATAGGGTCAGGAATTTTTTGAATATCTTCATAAAATTCTTCGGTATAAATTTCCATTGGATCATACCGATGATCACGTAAAAATTCAATTGCATGTAACACACAATTTTTAAGTGTATTATACAAGTCTTTCTGTTCTCCCCTATCATACTCCACAACATATTCTCGTGGTTTTGGACTATAACTACAAATAATTCTCACATTATTAATTTGTAGAAACATTGCTAGCAAATTATCAAACTTACCGTATTATTGAAAGTATATCGTTAGCAGTTTCTACTTCACACTGGAAAGCAGCCTCTACTTTTTCTATCTCTAAACCCAATCTTCCAGGTTCTTGTGTCAAATTAAACACTGGTACCGCTAACCCGATTATTCTAGGAACATTGTTGCACAATAGAAAAGTTTGAAGGACAAACTTTAAATTGTTATCTTCGATAGACTTATGGCACTCATCTACTATGACTAGATTTATGTGACACGGTAAAAGTTTGCTTTCTGATATTAATTGTGCATAGATTTTTGATGTTCCTACTAATACCTATAAATAAAGTAAAATGTGTAATAAGAAAAAACACTTGCAATAAGTTTTCTTTTAACAACATAGTGAATTATTTTTCTTACGTGAGAACTTTCAAAACATTTGTCAAATCCCTCAAATACATCAGAATCACATGCTAATACTTTCAAATCTGTTAATTGCTTTATATAAGTTCCTATTATTGTACATTTGTCTTTGTCATTTAATATATATATTGTCCTTTTTCCACCATTACTTACTAATCTATACAAGAAAAAAAATAAGTCAACATTTTTAACAAATATTAAATTTAATATTTAATTTAAACATTTATAATTATAAACATATATTAAATTTAATAAATATACTTTTGAGATATCTTATATAAAGCTATAAGTAATGTTTCATAAAACTTCCTGCATAAAGATTTTAATCTTGTAACTTACATCTCTGTATATATATGTTAAATATTTCATAATATTTTGTTATTATTCTTAAGCAATAACTCTATTAAACCTAGCTTAACACACTGGGTCCTAGAAACACTAATGCAATTTGCTAAAACAAGACTTTTGGCGTTTCTGGACTTTTATTTTTCTTTAAACTTATATATCTCAAAGTTTCTTAATTCTATTAACATTATAGACTTATTTCTTAATCAATTCTCTATCGATTGTAAAAAAAATTAATTGAAATATGTCCATTTTTATGAAAGTTACTGCGAAAGACATGGATGAGGTCCAAAAACCCAAGAACATCAAGGATAGAAAAAAAACCATATAGCTAAGGTTAATTTGTGTTGAAACAAATGGAAACATTTTATTACCTTCTATTGTTGGTAGCAAACTCTTGAATCAATTTTATAGAAAGAAAGGTTTGCTCAGAATTTTTTCCTAAACAGACGATTATGTTCTTTTCTTTTGCTGCATAAAGAAGTTCCACCTATAAATAAATGTAACTCTATATATATATATATAAATAAAATACATATGTAGACAAAATGTTAAGAGATACACACAAGCGCGCGTGAACATGTGTGCATATATATAAATATATATACATATGTATTATAGAATACATGTATATATACACATATCTCTCAACTTTCGAATATTAAAATCGTTAAAATAACTTTACCTCATACTCCCTGGGAGTAAAGGATTTTGTATAGACCTGATCATTTAATGGAAATGCCATGGAATCTACAGTTTCTCTATAATTATTCGCAGTAATAAAATAACAGTTCCCTGATAATTATCAAACAATTTTTACCATTCAATATTAATGATAAAATTCACGAAAATACAACACCATTTTATTTAAAATGCCTACTGTTGAGTAATTACACTTGCATTTAAAACTTAAGATTAAGTTAGGTTAGGCCAGAGAGAAATCTAGAGCGGCCATTCCTAGCCCTTTCGTATGACGCTTAAAGGTACATTCACATGCAACCGTTAAGCAGCGGAAGCAGCAACCAATCAGCGAAGCGATATATGAGCAGTGGCGCGAAACATAATTTTCTACGCCACTGGCCATATCGCCTTGCTGCTCCGCTAGGCTGCGTTTCAAAACATAACTTTAGTTAATAAAAAACTACAGTTTACGTTACTATAGATTTCAGTCAAAGACAGGCCGGTATTCATAGTCAGTTCTTATATTCAAGTCCGTCTTATGGGCCTTCTACAATAAGCCGTAAAGTCACAAATCATAAGTCATAATCTAGAGATGGACCAATCACAGTCGTCAATTTTTAGTTTCTTACTTCCGACTTATGCCTAGTTCACACTGGATGCGATGGGCGATGAACGACGAGCGATATCCAATAAAAGCTTTGCTTTAGCTCACACGACGATGTAAAGCAGAGTTCTTATTGGTTATCGCTCGTCGCGCATCGCTCATCGCGCATCGCTTATCGCGCCTAGTGTGAACTAGGCATTATGGCTTATTGTAGAAGGTCCATTAAGTTCAGTCTTGAAGAGTTACGAACCAATCAGAGGGCCGCTTTAGCATCTTAAGGGTGCAAACCCATGCAGCGGAATAGCGTAACGCGGAACGAGAGCAGAACCAATCACGAGTTTCTTTAGAAACACGGAATGCTCGTTATTGATTCTGCTCTCGTTCCACGTTACGCTATTCCGCTGCATGGGTTTGCACCCTAAGACATTACTTAAGACAGTTTTCAAATAAGAACTGACTATGGCTGCGATCGAGTTGCCACTACGAATGCTTTGAAGCGTTTGATTGACCAATCAAAAGAAAGAGTTATACAAACTGACCAATCAAGAAACGCTTCAAAGCATTCGTAGTGGCAACTCGACCGCAGCTTATGAATACCGGCCTATAATAATCAATTATGTTCATTTGCCCGGCGAGCCATTTTGATCCGAATTATCGATTTAGTCAGGTCCGTAACAAAAAGGTTCTTACGTGCTCTGGTCAAAGTTTTCCTTTATGAGAGGTAAAATAATAATAAAACGTATATGACAGTTTTAAGTAATGACAGTGTGAGCATAATCATATATCAGACGTTCATTCATCGCGTTCGATTCAAACGCTCACACACATCACATGTGTGTTTACGAGCAAACTGAAGCAACCGCGGGAACTTGTAGAAACGGCACTGAGCGGCGAATGAGCGCCAGTAGAACAGGGTATCGATCATGAAACTTTTTCCCCTAGGATGAAAAGTGAAAAATTTCTCCATTAACTTCAATGGTAAAAAATTTCACTTTTCATCCTAGGGAAAAAGTTTCATGATCGATACCCAGGACTGAGTTTAGGAATCATCATCTAAGGCCGGTATTCATAGTCAGTTCTTATATTCAAGACCGTCTTAAGTTCAGTCTTGAAGAGTTATGAACCAATCAGAGGGCCGCTTTAGCATCTTAAGACATTACTTAAGACAGTCTTGAAATAAGAACCGACTATGAATACCGGTCTAAAAGATGTCATGTTATCCTTATTTATCATTCGTGAACAACAAGGTTAAAACAACATCTGGGTGGATCCGGATGACGATTCTGAACGCACCCCAGCGTCCCCAGCAGAAGGCCGGACAGTAAAAAATCGACTTTATCAATCTCTGTTACTCCATTGCTTAATGTAGAAGTCCTGTTTTATCGATAAAGCTTGATTATAATTTTCCATAACTCATTGGTCACGTTCAGCAGACTCAACTGTTGCGGAGCGGATCCGTGAGCGCTCACTGCTATTGGTATATTCTTTTAGAACATGCAATAGCAGTGAGCGTTCACGGATCCGCTCCGCCAACAGTTGAGTCTGACCATTGGCTGCGTTCAGCAGAGGAAGCAGCTTTGCAACTGTTGTAAAATTCTTTAATTGGTTTTGCCTTTACTTCCTCATTATTAGATCTAAATGTATAGGCCAATTATATTCAAGAATTTTACAACAGTTGCAAAGCTACTTCCTCTGCTGAACGCAGCCATTACTTTTATATGTTAAAATTGTTTAACAAAAGAATTTTTTTTTCAAACATGTAATTAAATATATATTATCCAATATATATGTTTACAGTTTTATTATAGGCACTTTATTTGAATGAATGAAAAAAAGCTTATCTTTTTAGGATAGAATACAAAGTGTGTACATTGTGCACAAAGTAGTTGCTTGCTTAAAACAATATATCATTTATGCTTACTTTATGGTTATTTCTAACATTACTGTCAAAACATTTTTGTTATCACTTTTATTATACTTATAAAGAATCAGTAGTTTCGAATTTAGAATACGACTATACTTTCTTACAATATACCAGTACTGTTTATAACAATATACTAATATTTCTGATAATGTACTGTGAAAGATAAAGATAAGAAACAAAGATATACTCTCTATTTACAGATATTAAACATTTTGACAGTTTTGACTTTAAGAACATACATAGATTGTATAAGTGTGCTCATTTTTCAATATCATCTATTACAAATATATGAAAATATTTCAGTCTTCCAAACAAATCTATACCTAATATTTATTTATATATTTTCATTTGTTTTTTACCTCACTCAATATAAAAACAATAGTAAAACAATAAACTTCATTTAAATGAATTATTTATCAACTTTTAACTTATATCTATCTTATGTTTAATAATTTGTCTAATTTGTAACTTTCAACTCATCTGTGATATAAAAATAGTTCTGTTTATTTTAGATCTCCTTAAGCATAAAGTCATAGCTCCTACAGCGTGGACATTGAGCATGATCATGTAGAAAAACAATCTGTAAGATAAAAGAAAGTTAAGGATAATAATAATAATATAGTAGCACATTAATAATACTATTTAAACCTATCGTTTAAATAATAATATTATTGTTTTTATATCTTCAACTTTAATAACAAGATTAAAAGACAAAAAGAAATAGAATATGGACATGTATATATATAAAATAGTAACCTTAGGATGTTGAGGACAACAGTATCTTACTCTTCCTTTAGTCCAAAATCCACAACCATTGCATATAATGTGAGAATGTGGTCTATAACAAATGCATTCCGATAATGGTGCACTTGAATGTGGTATATCTTTCGCAGTAATCCTTGCATTATTCTTTATTATGTATCCCGATTCCATATTTATGGGTAAAATCTACAAATGTTAAAGTAAATAGAAATATATACAATTACATATATATATATATATATATTACCACATCCATTTAGAATAATGCAATTAAAATGATAAACACGTACGTACTACAAACTTCTACAACATATTACACTAGATTCACTCTATCCTTCTTGTTCTTCGCTCTGAAAATGGCGCTTATATGATCACGTCTACTGTCCACGAAGCTTAAACCTTCAAATGTCCTTAGATCCTTAGATTAATAGAGACAAGAACAAAACAAACAACACAGAGTGAAGTATGCATCGCGAAATTCGCAACGCTCAACCATTTTAAATTGAGACGTTACTTATTTAAAATTTAATGATATATCCATTCAATATTATTTAAAGAATTAAAACGATGTGTTTAATCGAAATTTGAATATTAAAAATAATATTTATTTAAAATATACTAAAAAGTTAAAAATCTAAAAAGTTAAAGAAAAACAGAATCGCAGAGAATGATCAGAGAATAATATAATCTACTGTTGGAAAACACACACACACACACTATTCCCTATGTAGCAATCGAGAGTAACCTTTCTGCAATTAAAACATTTTTATCCTTTTATTTTCAATAATTTTCGTTTACATTGCAAAACTTTGACAAAGTACTAAAAGAATTGAAAATAAAATAATATAAATAGATAATTCTAAAACAAATCTAATAAAATATGTAATAAATTTAAAAATATTCAAATAAAAATAAAAAAAATTTTTTGTAATTACTTGTTTTTGTAACGCAATGATAAAATGTATTAAATTGTTTATAATGCAATAAATATTTAATTTATATATACAAACGTTTCATTTATGTACAGCAAAAAATATTATTTTAGGGTTATCAAAAATATTATTTAGGGCTATCAAAAATATTATTTAGGTCTATCAATGGACGAGTTCAAACGGCAAAGCGGCTAGGTATGCTTGCCGAGCGATTGAATATAATTGGTTATTACTTATAGATCCAACCAAACATACTCGATCGCTCGGCAAGCGTACCTAGCCGCTATGTCGTCTTGAACTCGCCCAATAACTTAATGACTTTTCGGACAGCCGATACTTGATGTCTATTTTTTTCTTTGTACATACTTTAGAATGTCAACTGTCAGAATATAACCTTCAACATATTTTTTCTTTAAGCATTTCAGAGTTTGCATTTTTATATGAAAAAGTGCATTTTTCTCATTTTAACGACTATAATTAATTATAAATTATTTATATACAATGTCTTACATAACAATGCTATGAGAGTTAACATGCAACGATAACAGTGAATTTATATTATGTCTTCTAGAATTTATTAAAAACGAGTCACTATTATATAGAGTAAATACTCTATGTAATAGTGACTCGTTTTTAATAAATTCTAGAAGACATAATATAAATTATTATAAATATGTGTGTAGATTAGGGGAGCTCTTTCCCAATGACCTTGACATTTCATATTTACCGTTTTAATTATATACAAGTACAATATAAATATGACTCTTACACAACCTTGTATAATTATTTATTTAACACTATAAGATTTACGGAACCCGTCAATTTATATAATAGGTTTCACAGATATCAAAATTACATAAACCATTACTATTATCATGTAGAAATTTTTGTTGACTTTCATTAATGGAATGACATAAATATACATCTAAATTCCTAATCCTCAGCTTTTGAAATTCTGTACGTAGTATCTACTTATTTCTTCGGATGCCTGTCAAATTAACGAGTGATAGATCCTATAAATCTAGTGTTATATTATTAAAATTAAAAAGTGTTTAGAGTATTTAATTATTTAATATACAATTTTTTTTTAAATATTTTCTAAAGATGTCAAAGTATACGTAAAAATCACGTTTAATATAATCTTTATATACTTATAAAAGTGATGAAAATTGACCCAGAATTCGATAAGACCTGTTATATATGTATTAAGGGTTAATAAATATTTCTAAAAAAATTTTTATGAAGATAAAACAAAAATTAACACATGTAAAAAAAATTTGTTTGAATGTTACATTTATTTTTTATTTATAAACCTTTATACTTTACATAACATTATCATCATGCATTAACATGGTTTTTCACTTTATCCTCTTTCTTTAATTGTAGACGAATAGAAACATATATATATATATATATATATCACATACGTATTTAGTATAAATAATTTCTTTTTAAGATAGTAAAGCTTAATTCAACTTTTTTTCTGAATCAAAAAATATTTCAAAATAATGTTTGCTTATTAAAATGGAAATACGTGTAGCATTTATACTTCGAAATGAAGTTCATGTAATTATGAAAAAAACGTAAGGAATACTTTTCAATTTTTTACTAATCAAAATCGTATGGCGAATCAATAGTTTTTATTCTTTCATATTTGATATATGTAAACACACACACACACACACACACACACACACACACACACACACTCACGCACACGCACACGCACACACACACACACACACACACACACACACACAATGTAACATACACACATAACATATACAGATACATAAAAGTAAGATACTCCATAAAAATATATCAGTGTTTATCACTTTTAAATATTCGAATTTTACTTCTGTAGAATGTACATTTTACAACGATGTTTCGTGAAGTTATACAAATTTTTTCCTGTAAATATCTTTCTACCTTATTATAACACAATGATAAATTGCTAGCAAGTATTAGAACATAAACATGTTTACAAAAATTTCCTTAAATGTTCACTTTTCTGATATTTTATCAAATTCGATTCGAGAGAAAACAGCTAGAATGTACCTATCTTTTTTTTTTCATAGTTAACATGTTTAGAATATTCCTAAGAACACTTAGTCTGTCTTTTATTTCTGCAATAGTTCAGACAGTGCAGGAATAATGTACCTACATTTATGCGTGGCTCTTCTAAATTGTTTCATGTATAAAAGCATTTCAATATTTAATTGGCATTTGTAAGAAATACGATTATTCTTTTCTTCTTTATTTCGTGTTTTCTTTAGATGATTTCGTCATTCACATTAATTAGTAAAGTAATTTTTACGGTGATGTGTAAATAAAATTAAAGATTTAAGAGATATAGTTGCAGGATAATAGAAATATAGTAACGTGTAAATGTACATGTAACCAAATAATATAAAGAAAATATGCGATAGTTTCAATTTCCGTAGAACGATTTATATAAAAACTCTATTGGTTGTTTTTTGAAAGGATCTCGCACTAATCATATGAAAAATTGGATCCCGCGCGATAAAATTAATTAGATTATATAATATAGTTTATAATGTAACAGGTATTAGACGCAAGACACAATAATGGATAGTTATTTTTGAGCTAGGTATATAAAAGGTGTAAAATTTGTGCTTACACAGAGCACTTTTGATACATAAAAAATATATTCTCCATTATTGTAGCCTTGTAACATGTTTTGCTCACTATACTACATGAGGGTAGTTTGACAAGTCCTTGCAAAGTCTAAAATATAGCACCACCAGTACGTATTGAGATTATTTTTAGTATTCAGCAACTCTTGGAGGATCAACACACCAAAGTCTGGCGTTCATTTGAATTGACCAAGTTTTGTGGTTTGCAAAAAATGGATCAGAAAGAATTTCGTAGTGTGACCGCAAAAAGGTTCGATTTACACTACAAAGTCCAAATTTAGAAAATAGGAGGAAGTGGAAGGTACTCGATACGTACTGATTGGTGCTATATTTTAGATTTTGCATAAACTTATCAAACTACCTTCGTAAACTACATTAGCAATATATGAAAATAAATTTATTTCACCAGGATCCAATTTTTCATGCAATTAATACTGATTCTTTTATACTTTTGCTTCAGTTTTTGGTCCTTTTCTCTGAAATAGAAATAACTGTATACGTACATTTATGATATATGTACATACACACATACAAATATACAATATATTATACAATATATATTCATCATTGATTTCTCTTTCTCTCTTATTTTTATTTTTCTATTTATCTATTTGTAACGTGTTCAACAATCTCGATTTTTATTCTACCGTTTACACATTTAACATATTGTATATAATATGATTTTATACGAATTAAATAATCAGCAGGTTAAACAATTTATATGTATTATTCTTAGCAATAAGAAAAAAATAAAAAGTGATTTTGCACAATTTAAAAATAAATTTTAATTCTGGTATAAATAAATTTAATTTTTATATTCTATTTGAGAGCGCGCGCGCATGCACATACAAAATTCTCTTTAATAAGATAGAAAGACACACATTTAGGTAAATTATTATATATCTCTGAAAGAATTTTATCAAAATAAGTGAAAAATAAAGGATTCTTGTCTTTCAAAAATAATAGTAAAAAGTACGGACATATAAGAGTCGGTTACAAAGAATTTTATATTACAAAAACAAATCGTGCAAAAATAGACCAGGCGAAAAGACAAAATTTTATTGACTACAAAAGATACTGTACTATCCCCGTATTACATTAGACTTTATATTATAAAGTCTGCCTCTTATTAAACAATATTTCAATATATTTAAAATTCTGCAATATATCTTCAAAATCTCTTTTCGAATCAACAAACATACATATAATTTTTATCAGGTACACGATATATGTATAATAATATATTGCGGGCGTAACATGTTGACTACGAAAATTGATTTAAAACGATTCGCTTGGCACACCATTTATAGAACTTTTGTATAACCATTTGATTCACGGAATGACTCGCAGAATAAAAACACACTGCACGTTCGTATTTATTACGTATGTATGTACAATGTCACATAAATAAAATATTCTCTTCTTATTACATATTGCAATTTAAAAATACTATGTGCACTTCAAATCTAGTATAATGCCGCACATGATAACCAAAACCATCTTAAATTAAGAACATCAAGCTTTTAAATTTTCAGAGATGTGACTTCAATCTCAAGCAATTATTTTTCAAATTAAAATATTAAAAATATAAATAACTTTGAATCTGATATAAAAAGTATGAGCAAGAGTGACAGCATGAAGTATTGAAAAGGATAAAAAAAAGTGTAAGTAAGAGTCGTATATATATTAAATAATTTAAAGTATATGTTGCCTCTCCCGAAAAAAATATTAAAATGAATTATGACAAATTATGGTCCCCATATAGTACACAAATAATTTGGTTGCATTATCGAGTGGTACATTATGAATAAAAAATTATTAAAGACATACGTGAAACTTATTTGGCAATAGTATTTTTTGTACGATTTGTTAATTTATATACGATGTCTGGCATATAAAACCGTCCTGGTATTATACAACTTTTGCATACTCTCTGGATCTTTTTCCTCTTTCTTTGTATTCTAGAAATAAATAAAGGCTTTAAAATTCTTTCCAGAATTTGAAGTTTGATATTGCAACTAATAAATATTTCTAGTGCAAGCACACGCGAAAAAATTCACAGACCTCTATTTATCATCAGAACGATTTAAACTCTGACGCCAATACCGTTATCGCTTTTAATTTCCGATACGATATCAAACGTGGGAGTGCAAATATCGGTGGGTGTGGGGATGGCAAGAGGCGCCAGACGCGGCGCGTTTTTCTTAACCAGCGTGGGCGGATCCTTCAAGATGTAATCCGTACAAGGTCTGACGCGCAATCTATTCGAATGTACGGCTGGTTCTACTCTAAGAATCGTGCAGGATCGTGTCGAGGGATGCCTGACACGGTGCACCGATTCCGTAGATCTACTTTGATAAACCGCTTCTATAGCACACCTCTTTAAATTCATTGTTGACATCGAACTGTACGCCAATGTGTCCCGTTCGGAATCGGGCATAAAAACCGGCTCGTAGCTCTCCTCAAAAGACGTGAATATGTCCGAGTCAGGCATTGATGGTGCGCTAAAGAAGGACTCGCGCAGAGATGACGTCAGAGCGTCAGGACACATGAAGGGGTCCAGGGAGGTGAGATCGTTGAGATCGCTGCCACTGTTACAAGTCTGAAAGTCGTTGACCGAATAGGACAATGGGAACGTGGTTTGGTACTCCATCGTGGCACTCGATAAGACCTCCTGGCTCCTAGAAGACTCGGACCACTTTGAGTCGGATGGACGTCTTGAGCTAAACCTAGTGGAATCGTGCTCGGCGAAAATAGGTTCTGGTAATCTCGTTTCTCTATCTTTGTCCGAGTTCCTCAGCAATGCCTCGAAAAAATCAATCGGCTCCAATGTCGATGTATTACCAGTTGGAGGGTCGCACTTTTGACTCAGAATTTGATCATCACCTTGTTCGAATGGTTCGCTCAAGTCCTCGATATTTAGTAACACGGGTGGTACTATGGGAATGGGACGTCTCACGGGACTGCTTCTTTTATTTAGAGGCGATCTAACGCGTTGCGCGATGACGTCCACGACAGATCTCGGAATCTCGAGACTTTGCATCTCTTCAGGTCGAAGAGATATCTCTTCGGCTATGGGGAGAGGATCTATGGGACTCAGCGGTTCTGAGTGTATCGTCGGAACAACCAACGAATCCATCAAGTTGGAAGGCTCCAACATAGTTACTCGGTGCATCACTGGATCGCTGATTGCATTAATCGACTCGGAATACTTCAACACCTCCAAATTTCTATAAGTTTGCGTCATGGTTTTGGCAGCAGAATTTATGTGCGCGGGTGTGTGCCCGTTTCTCGGTGGTGAGTAGTCTAGGTTAATAAGATTGGCTAATTTGTTCGACGTAATAGTTAGGTGCGGGTTCACATTTCGCTTCAAGGTATCTGTCTCGTAGCTTCTCCTGACATTACCAGATGCTGATAAGGAGGAGCAACCGTTTCTCAGTTTATGCTTTAGATTCGGATTCACGCGTCCAAAATAACGAAACTTAGGTCGCGAATGAGAAGCCTTGTTAAAAGTTTCTCTCTGTTGAGCCTCCATCTGTTGGCAGAGCACCATTGCGTGCCTCGCTAATGCGTCCTCGTATCCGTAATTGTGATGTTGCACGGAGTAACCGTGTTTTTCTGTGCCGTTGTCACTTGTCGGCAAGAATCTCGTGCCTACCTCGGAAGTATGCACAGTTACCGTTCTGAGATTTGAATCTGATCTGGTCAAGTTTGGATTCCGTCTTTGATAGGAAACGTTATTTACGCGGAACATTACTTGGTTCGAGTCTACTATGGAAGTATCGACATTTAGTATCGGATCCGACAGGGCATTCAACGGAAGAAACTTACGATTACTGTGTGAGCCGTCGCTCTTCAAGTTCTGATAAGATATAAATTTCTCCGACTCGAAAATCAACGACAAGTTCTTCCCGTTTATTCGTTTGTGATTCAATCGTCGTAAATGCCTAATCTTATTGAAGGTCGGATCCAGCAAATACTTGAGATTTTTGATCTTGTCAATGTTGTGATTAGAGTCGATAACGTGATTCCGGTAAATGATATAACTTGGATCGAGCATCTTCGTCAGATCGTGAATATTTTCCTCTATGATGTCGCCCGGTCGACTGTTGCAGGACGCAATATGTTCGATGTTATGCTTCACGGGCATAATATCAGCATGCCTACCCGATATTTCTAAACATTTTTTATTATAAAGAGTGTTGTGGTGCTTGGTAGCAGTAAAGCAATTATTCTCTATGGGCGGATGCTGTCTGCTTTCGTTGCTCTCTTCATCATAATTTACTTCGGCTAGTTCAAGGTTCGTGTTGGTACCGCATCTTGTCGGTGAACGGCCGTAACGGCCTGTCGTCATACCAAACAGAGCGACCAGATCTTCAGCAATTTTTCCGGCGGCAATGCGCATCTCACCATGATGAAAAGCATAGATCCAGGGATTCGCACCACTGTGCGCAAGAATTGGCAAACCTAACCACACCACCGCCCATTCCGATAGAATGTTGGTACCATAGAAAATGTCCACCAGCATGCAAGTCTAAAAAAAGAAAAAACCATGTCATAGATTGCCTTAGAGTTGTACGTTTACTAGCACTTTCTTTGTTAGAATCTAGCGATTCTAAATCCGTTTTTTATTCCTGCACAAGAATTCTCTCTCGCTTTCGTTAAATATTAAGCATGTAAAAACAGGCATTACTCAACGCAAGCACAACGCATGCCCGTAATTTACTTGATATAATATAAAGTCACTACCAAGAATATGTAGACTCAAATAGTAGACTCTGAACACTATAATAGATTTAAATCTTATTCCTCTAGTGTAGGAAGCATGTGGCATGGTAAAATGTCAATCCAAAGCGACATTCTATAAACACTATACAGAACAGACAGGATTAGATTTTATATTATATATATAATCCGTCGTAGGCACACATTTTTATCCAGGCAAAATTTCACTCTCAAATTTCTTGACACAAATTTCCATTTTTATAAAACAAACGTTCTAATATTTGAGTTAAACAATTATTTGGTAATGTAGCGAGCAAAGCTGTTGAAACGAAATCCTGAATTTTTTTAGATTTTTTTGAAAGTCTAGAACAGTAATAAAAATTTTAGATACACAAAAAAGATTTAGAATGCCTATGAGGTAAGTAAAAATATGTGTCCATGAATGATATGATACAGTTCAATAATTGCAGTGGCAGCTTGAATTTTACATCAATATATCAAAGCATTTACAGTCCTTTCACAGAGAATATAAAAGATATATTGTTTGCTGTAATACTCACTTGGAATGGAAGCCACAGAATAAAAAATGCACCAACTGTAACTGCTAACGTTTGTCCATAACGAGGCAGTGCCATTGTCTGCGTCTGATGTCTAAATGATAATTCTACTGTGTAAATCGCACGCGCGTGTGCACGCGCGACAAAATAGACATACATGTAACAACACAGTAGAACCAGAGCGCTCGGTGCCCAAACTGCCACGACCAGAAATACTCTAACTGGTGGTAACACGGCCGCGTCGAACCTGCAGTTCCCGCTGCAAGATAAATTAATATGAAAAATATATTATTCGCAGTAGAATTACAATGTCAGCTATGGTATCTATTGTTCGATACCATATTTCAATATTAAATGTTAATATTTTTTCTTACATATTTTTTTCTTTCTTTATTTATTCGCAAATAATTCATTACATTAAAATGGAATACTTATTAATCTGCAAAAGCTCGTATAATGCTTGTACTGCAGACAGTCTGATCGAGTCTGCTTTAACTCATATTAAAAGTGAGGTTATAAGCTTGTGTTGTTATGCGATAACTTTGTTACCACCAAAGCAAAGTAACTATAAAGATATCATTATTTAACAATAAGTATATGTATAAAGTACACTGTATAAAATACTCACACAAGTTGAGATTCAGTAAGCAGATATCGCTCGTGTAAAAATAGAAAGCAACTATTGTTTCCGGTTTAGCGGTGAGAAGTAAAATCAGAGCAATTGAAGTAATAGAACTGCGATATGTCACATATCGTTGATGAGCCATGTAAATCGATATGGCTTATCATAAATAAGTGTGATTCTCTGGGCATTCGCAGCGAGTATATAATATGAATTTCGATCATATATTCTACTAGAAGGTCACGGATTGATTATAGTCGTTGATTTGACTACTGTCGTAGCTGAAATTGCCGTCGCGTCGGCTCTCCGTTGATCAAACGTTAACAATTGCGCTTGATAAATGCCAAACGGATGAAAATACGGTACGGGTGAAACTGGTCGCGACGCGACGCGCTTTCGTATAGTGAATGTACACACATAATCGCAATAAACTCAACTCCACAATATTTATCGATCACACATATAAATGGCTGCGTTCAGCAGAGAAAGGACTTGAGCACAAATTGTCGTGGATTGTTGTAGCAGTTTTCGACACGTAAGTGTCGTAATTATTTCCGACAGAATCATAATGTCATACGACGTAGTATGCGAGATCTTTTACTAGGCCTTCTACAGTAAGCCATTACCTAAGTTTTAAGTAGTATAAGTCATAATAAGAAATTGACCACTCACAGTCGATTATTCTTCTCATATTCGATTGTGATTGGTAAATTTCTTATGATTTAACACTTAAAACTTAAGTATGTAGAAGGCCCATACGACAATCCACGACAATCTTTGTGCTCAGGCCCAAAGCAGCCTTGCAAACAAAACAATTCGATGAGTTGATAATGGCGCTTCCGCAACGGTAATAAAGACTGGCCTTTATATAGTTGAAGACAAATTTCTTTATATTGAAATTACGGCTATGTTTTAATTGTAATATTTATAATTAGAAAAGGCTTATTCTGAAGGCTCGTACAGCGAGTGATTTTTTTTTTGGAAGAAAGGCAAAATAAAAATTTTTTCTGACATCTCACTGGATTTGTGTGATATGTAGGTATCTACTATAAGTAGTGCGAGATGTACGATATTTTTATTAATAAACAATTTTCAGAATTAATAAAAATTTAAGTATAGAAATTTTTTACATTACATTAATAATGATATATTATATGCGTATTATTGTTTAATTCTCTTCATCTTTAAGTTTTTTGTGAAAATTTATTGATAAAAAACAAAAAATAAAAGATAAAATTACAAAACAAAAAAAAATAGGACGTAAAATTTGCGCCCATATTTTGTATTAACGTATCTACTTTGATTAAATTAAATGGGATTCGTAAGTAATTGTATTTTATTCCATTTTGCAACCTATAAATTAAATAGTTTTATATGATGAGATTTTGATACTTTCCAGATTGTAAATTTCTTTGTATCATCATTTCCTCTCGTAGCGTCTCGTAACTAAATAATACATTTTCGAATCAACGTAGCCTTAATAGTATTAATAACGCAACAAGCCATTTATTGTATATATATGATGTATTAAAGAAGTTGCACTTGACTTGTGTGTGCGCGCGCGCCATAATATTCTTATAAACCGAATTTACTCAAGTTTTCTTAAATTATATAAACATATACATATATATATATATATATATATTATAATGAACATTGAGTAAATATAATTATTACCTGTGCGATTGCATCTCTCCGATGATCTGAGCATAGATGAGAGGCGAAAGACCAATAGCGATCGCATATATCCAAAAGACCGCGATGTATTTTTCTACGCTGCTGTGGGTGATAATGTTCTTGTATCGCAATGGTTGCGCCAACGAAGTCAAACGGTCCACCGCGATGGCCACGGTGACTAGGACACTCACACTACAGAGCGCGATCACAATGCAATACGGTACAATGCAAAGAGCGGAAATGCCGTTTTCTGGTAGACCGGAGAGCTCCAGCTGCATCCCGACTGGCATAAACACGCCGATCTATCAATAAAAACGAACAGATTATGCATTTATCGTGAATCTAAATGAGAATGCGTTCGCTGATGCGAGCGAGTATCAGCCTATATTGCGAGTATAAAATTATTGCGCAAACCCGCGGGATAACATTTATGTTGCATACCTGTAAGAGATCTAAAAGACGTTTTTCATTAGGCATGTCTAAAACATGTCTTTTAGATCTATCTCATACAACATGCATGTTATCTAGGAAAGACACGAAGCGGAAAATTGCTGGCATTGTTAAAAATCAGTTTATATTGAGAGAGAGAACACCAATAAGCAGAACATCAGTGACGACAACTATTCTGATCAGCTGTATAATTTATAGCTAGGGAATGGAAGTACACCTTACTTATTTTGTAACGTCGTTGCTTTTTGTCGTTATAATGATTTATTTTTAAAACATATACTTTTACGTCGATGTGTTTTATATAAGTAACGAATTTTTTTCTTCAGTAAATAATGCATAATAATAATTAGTTATTACTTTTCAAAGTAGATATTTTTCTCAATTTTAGCGTAACTTTAGCGTTTAGTTAGTTGTTGTTACAGTCATAAAACATTGCGACGTCATTATTAAATCATTATCTATTATAAAAAATAACGATACAAGTAACGGCATTATCAAGTAAATTACTATATGTATATTTCCATTGCTAGGGTAATCAAAAATCGCAGAAATGAAAAGCTTTTTAACATTAAGAGTGATAAATATCAATTTAACACAAAATCTTTGAATAACACAATTACGTTTATGTTAAAAAATTCAACACAAACGATCAACAGAAACGTGAATGGACCATTACCAACAGAAACGTACAAATTTTTGTTACCGTGCAAGAGCTAGAGTATAGATGCGTGAATACCGATACTTTATTTTACATGATGAGATTTATCATCACATACGCGATTTATATACAGTAAAAAAACATTCTGTATTTGTGTGTTAAAAATGAACCACTCAAGTCGTTATTAAAATTTTGTGTCGAATGTATCCAAGTACTAATTTAACATAATATGTTTGTTATTTGAAAAACGAGTGAAATATGATCGAGGCAATGTTTGGAGAATACACGCGGGTGCGTAAGACATCCCGTTTCAGCTCTAATAGCGTTTAACGCAGCCACTGATAATGCAACATGAGATCACAATGGCATTTTCCGATAATTGATATGGAATCCATTTTCCTTCCTTGCAAATCTCTTTCCCATATCATATAAATATTTAGTAACTGTTGTACGATCAACATTTAATGCTCTGGCAAATTCTGAAGTAGATTGTGCTGGATTTTCGTCCAATGATGCTTGCCAATCTGCATTTTCCATCTTTTTTAGTTGTCCCGAATGATCTTTGTCGTTAACATTGAAATTGTCACTTTTGAATCGCCTAAACCAAGATTTACATGTCTTAATTGATGGGACAACATCACCGTAAGTTTTTCTATCAGAATTCTTTTACCTTCTACCGCTGTTTTTTTCTGATTAAAAAACAAAAGCAACGCATATCGAAAATACTCTATAGGAAGCTCCATTTTTAAGATAATCTAAACACGATGTCTACTCATGCGTCTATTATTGCAGTTATAGTCTTCTTCTTCTTAATTTAAGGTGGCCCAGGTTCTGTTATAACCGGATTAACACGTGGCTAGTCGTACCAAAAAGATAATATGCATACAAAAAGAAATATAGAAACAAAGTGGGTGATACAATGTCCGCGAAAATGGCGTAGCCCGAACGAACACTGCGGACGCCTGCGTCTACGACGTCGTCACGCCGCGCCGGCCGCAATAACGCGCGTCAGGACGAACGAACGAGACGAGCCCAACCGCGGACACACATCGATAGAAACCAATATGCACAGTCAAAGATCCCTTTCTTACATAGGTACATGTACATATTACGATATATTTTTATTTATATTATATAAGAATGATACAAGTCATAACTGTAATATATGTATGTATAAATAAAAGACTTACCCCAAAATCGCTAATTGCCAACGAGACTAAAAGGCAATTGGAAGCAGTCCTGAGTCTTTTGTACCTGTAGAAGACTGCTAAGATGATGGAGTTACTAGTAACGGTGATAGGTGAGAGAATGCACACTATGGAGATCGCCAGAATAACTGAGACAGGACTGATGTCCAATCGTGTGTCAATCTTGGTAACGGTGGGTATGATGCTAGTCGTTAATTCCTCAGCAAAGATAGTGGATGGTAGCGGTGTATCTGATGTGGCGTACGTTGACATTGTCACTCTTATAGCAACATAATTCTCACTTTTATTCTTGCCTATGCGCTTTTCTTCGAGTTAAGTTTTTCTTCTTGTACTCATCACGCCTTGCTTCATTTGTCGTCATGACGCCAACATCATCGAGATTATCATGTTATTGCAATCAATAATATATGGACGATTGACTGAACAAATTAAATTACTAATTGCCTAATGCGATTAGCTAGTTAAAAAGGTAAATAAGGCATTCTTTATAAATATCAATCATACATATATATATATATATATATATATATATTGTATATATATCATATATGTGTTAACAATTCAGGTATTTCATCGAGACAACGAAATGTTTTAGTTAGAACGCAATGGTCATAATCTTCGATCTTCGATTTTGCATTTTACATTATCTGAGGAAAACAACTTTCTGAAGCACATCGTAATTTTCGTCTTGGACAATTTTTTAACTTTATTGAAAAAACTCTCGAAACTCACGACTAAATTAATTGAATTTGACTAATCTGTAAATGAACTTGATTGATCCGTTGAAAAATTATATAAGCTATCATAACATGTCAAGCTTTGTATCCATTGTGTGGAAATGACTTGAATATGAAAATATGTATTTGATTCATCCCGCGAATATATATCTCTCCCTCTTTTTACTCCTTTTAACTCTTCATTTTTCTTCTAATATTATTGTAACCATTCGCTTCCTGAAACAAGCATGTATTCGTGTTTCTAATTAATAATAATTATTTTTCTTTCCTTTCTACAGCTATTATATAAATATCTTTTTTATGTAAAGTATATCTAATATATATGTGCATAAAGTTACACGCATTTCGGATATTGGTAAACTAATTTTAGCAGATAGTTCATGTTAACGTTAAAATTTAAATTCTTTTTATAAACATATACACATTTTTTATCTTATATTTCCTTTCTTATATTATTCTTAAACTTATAAATATTATACGGTGAAATTATTTTACAAAAAATATTGGTTACATTTTATATTGTATTTTAATAAATTCTGCATATTTTTATAATTTTTGAGCATTTAATTGTTACATATTTTTTCCTAGTATAACAGAATAGTATTTAGGCAATAAGAATATAATGATCGTGTGTTTTTTCCGCAAACATGATAATTTTTTAAGAGACAAAAAATGTTTATTTTGATCTATAATAATTAAGCTTAAATATTATTTTCGGAATTTTTATTTAAAGTTTAGATTTAAAAAATTGTTTATAACTCAATATAGAAATAATAAGAGCCAGTAATTGTTTATAACTATTCAACGACCACGTAAAAAAAATTAAGTCTATGTAAATATTTTTCGCAAAATAATATGAGGAATCGAATTAAAGTAGTCTCAGTCAGTAGAATTGATTGGTTGTTGATTAGTGCATTTCTAAGCGACTTTATGGAAATAAACCGCTCGCTTAATAGAATCACAGAATTGTTTCAAGTACTACGAGATTATAAAATTATTCAAAAGTTTACAGCTTTTAATACATAAAATACAAATAAAAAAAACTTTTGTGTGACTTTTGCTTATATCATTATGTTTTAATTTATAATTAGATTTCACTGAATCGTTGTGGCATGTGTTTTTGTGGCGATTGATAAAATCATTATGATAATAATCTATATAACTAATCTAAAAAAAGTGTTAGAAATATTAATAGTTTTTTCCTGAATACGAGATTTGATCTCATATATATTGTACTTGTTAAACAAAAATGTTCGCCTCCTGATTTCCGCCTATGTCACTAGAAAGATCTATCAGCTATCTACGTCAATCGATTATTCGGTTAAGTGAGCGAAGGCTAGCGTGCGAATAAATCGCGGCAAAGAGAATTTCCATCTCATAAACGGGGGTTGCCGAGTAATGTGCAGTGGATAGCGTGATGTATAGTAGCAACGGATTTATATTAGCATAGCTAATGAAACCTAAGCTTCAGGCTTTATTAATTTACTTACACGTCGCAAGAAAAAGGGATAGACTCTTTAATATGCTGCTTAGGTTAGATATGTTCTTGCCAAATGTATATGTCTCCAAATATATTATATATAGCTTTGGTAAGCTATTGTTTTATTCGTGTCAACTTTAATAAATACAATAAATGCAAAAGTAGATTAAACGCTCTTGAATATTTATTTTTTCTTTCTTTAAGATGAAGAAACTATTTCTTTTTGTTTCGAAGCTTCGAGGATCTTTATTAAAAGAGTAAATTGTGTATACATCACATAGCTAACAATAAGTTATGAAACAGTGTTTTTTCTGTTGAAAGCATTTTACAAGTGATATAAGACCTTCGAAAGTTATCCTTTTAGCATTCAATTACGTGAAATATAAGACAAAAATAGAAAATAGAAAATTCATTAACAATATGTTTACTTTCCTATCCTATTATTTATTTAGTAAATATCCAGATTAGGGATCTCCCTCAATGATCTTGACCTTGATATATATATTGTCAAGGTCATGGCCCTAAGTGACCTCCAGCAAGTTTTAGTCGTTGCTCGTCCTTCGTTAAAAAATTATTAACATAATGTTTCGAAAATAACATATTATTTCTGCTACGCATATTAAGTATACTAATCTACACCTCCCCTTGCTGTGAAATGTTCGACTTTTCTCGCAAAACAACTCTCGCCCCCGTCCTCCCTTAAGGAGCGCACGACTTCCATAGTTGTACTGTTGCATGTGGATTTCGACTTTGTGCAACATAGTACAATCATAGAAGTCGTGTGCCCTTAAAGCAGAGAGGAGGGTGAGGTGGATATCGCTTCATGTGGAAGTCGTGCGCCTCTGTAGCAAGAGGGGAAGTGGGGTAGAAGTCGCTTCGCGCAAAAGTCGTGCGACTCTGAAGCAGGTGTGAAAGTTACGCTTTGAATTGTAAAATAAAGAATAATCTCAGCACATGAATAAAAATTTTTAATCAATATTATCTAGTGGATATATTGCACTCATAATATTAAAAAATTTATTAATTCATTCACATTATACATTTTTTGACTACGAATTCTGCAATATAATGGATAAAGTAATAGTCGCATGTATTATAGCGAGGAATATTTGCTCGCAGTTCTTTCCATAATCGTTTGTACGTCCAAAAAGTTGTATTAGAATGAGACTATATGTATTATATTTTTAAACTTTCTCGTTAATAACTTTTTAACGAAGGACAAATAACAGCTAAAATTTGTTAGAGGTTATTCGAAGTCATGACCTTAACAACATAGGTCAAGATCATTGAGAAGGAATTTTCTGATCTGGACATTTACCCTATAATTTATTTTAAAAAATTGGAAAATTTAGTCTCTTTCTTCGAATGTGCACTTAATGTGTTAAATGATATCCCATAGAAAATTACAAAGTAATTTTATTTTTCGCAGGAAAAGTTATTTTTTAATATAAAAAAACAAAGTGTCGACAGAAGAGAGAATTTAAGTAATGCACACTTTTCTTCTTCTACCAACATTAATTGGAAACTCACAGAAACAATGCCAAAATGTTTTTCAGTTGACGTTTTGTACGTGGAGGCTGAAATTATTCATTGAAATGGAAAATAACTTGCATTACACAGATGAAAAATGACGCAAGATGCATCAGATTTCGAAAATGTGAGGCTCATCACACAATCCATTATTATATATGCTGGGCAGATAGTTATTTCGATTTTCAATAAAAGCTAATTGTCGAAAACCATTTGTATAGTCGACTCATAAAAAATGCTCTCCATTTGTCACTTTTCTCTCAATTGTACTTTATGATTTAATCGTGGAATATAAAACATTTGAATTAAGAGAGTGGAAAATGTTACAATTATAAATATCACTTTAAATTTTGAGATACAATATATACTATAATCTTGAAAAAAACATAAATTAAGAGATATTCAAAAGTATTACGGTTAATAAAACAATGTATAATAATAAAATAATAATAAAAATAAAATTCAATGTTTTGAAACCAATGAAAACCGATGAGAACATGTGTAACGGTCAAGCTGGATCTTGGATGCTTCTATATAATTGTGTGAATTTATATACTACGTATGCAGATTTTTAATTGTGCGTACCGAGTTTTTTTTCTTTCAAACTTGAAATACAAGCTCTACTAACGTGTAATATTACCGTAGTAATATTACGAGTTAAATTGACTAACAATTTAACAATTTTTTATGCTCTTTACGGATCTTAAACCAATCTTAATTAATGTTGAATGACATATTAAAATCTGCAAATAATTAATTTTCATTGTGAAAAACATTACCTCGGCCGAGAATCAATTTACACGCAATTATATAGAAGATCCAGCTTGACTATTATGGCATGTTCTGATCGGTTTTCATTTTGTGCGTGCGTGCGTGCGTGCGTGCGTGCGTGCGTGCGTGTGTGTGCGGTTTAAAAATACATTTTAATATCTATATTTTCAGAGAACAATATATCTAGAATATAGACGTAAGACACTCTGAAGCTGAAGACGTTATCTGCTGCAATCTCTCAGATATCATGTCACCAAGAAGTCTGTAAGACGTTTCATATTTCCCTTTTAGACGTATATGTTGTCTAACAATAAGTTATTCTTTTTAATTCGTAAGAAGATAGTTGGAAGGAGATGGATATTCGCGTATTAAAATTATTACAAGTATCACAAATCACATTACATATTCTATGGCTAAAAAGACGTTTAAAAGATTACTCCAGTTCTTCTATTAATGAATAAAGTGATTATCTAACAATGCGAAATATATATAGATTCTGTTTAACATATATATGAGTTTTTTTAATGGTAATAAGTATAATGGCGCAAGTTTCAATGGAATATTTATTCCACGCGTAGGACGCTATCACTCACTTATTACATGCACTCATTGACGATATAAATATTCAGATTTAGATCTCATCGAGTCATGCATTGTTAATTATTTTGTCTTTACTATGTAAAATATCTCCGTGACAAATCTTTAACGCAAGTAAACTGTTTCACCCTTGTTAGATGTCTGTTAAGAAAAACATAATATAAATCATGCATTTGATATAAAATGTGAC